TTAGGGTTTTGCATTTTTGTCTAATTTTTCTTTTTTCCAGTGCAGGCTTCTTTAAGGCCCAACCGAATTTCACGTTCAGGCTTATATCTTGGGGGAGAAGCTATTTTCAAAAGCAATTTTTTAGACTACGCAAAAAATCATTACACATTCATTTAAATCGTAATGTGTATTTGTGTGAGAAAAATTAACTATGTCGCTCATCCATGTATTATTATGTTGCGAAAGCTTACACTTTTTTGAAGGATTTCATAGTGCATTTTAAGTTTTAACAAATCATTCATCGATGGTGTTCAATTGCTGAAAAAAAGTTTAGTTTAGGGTATCGAATTTGGTATGAATATTAAAGTTTGGATTGATTATTGGTCAAATTGTGGGCCTCTTCTAAAATTTTCTCTTCAACGACCTTCGCGAACTATGCTTATGTCGTCTATGGTTGATTTTTGCTATGGTGGGAATTAGAATATAGAATGTTTGATCTATGTCCTTCCTAAAGTAATTGTGGATAAAATTGTTAATATTTATGTGGATAGTATTTTGTTTTATCAAAATTTGTGTGGATAGTATTGGCGGTTGTATATGGGGACGAACTACTAATGGTAACTTTACTGGGAAGTTTCTGCCTATGTGTTAGACTTAGGTGTTAATATGAACACTAAGTGGCGATGGAGCTTTATCTGGGAGTTGTATATTCCTCCTAAAGTGCTCTCTTTTCTTTGGCTTTTGTTGCTAGACAAATTATTGACAATAAACAACGAGTTAGACGGGTGTTGGCAACGGGTTCTTCATGCAACGTATGTGGTGGTGCGTTTAAATCAATTATTCATGTCTTTAGAGATTGTTTCTTTGTTGCTAAGGTTTGGAGAAATTTCATGTTCCTAATCAATTTTTTATTGGTACATGCACTAATAATTGGTTCCAAAATATTATTCTTGGACTATTTGAAATGGAGACTTATTTTTTGTATAACTTGCTAGTTCATGTGTCATTGGAAAAACAATAAGTATTTTTTGAATAGGATTTTGCCCGCTCCACTAACTTAGGGGGAATTCTAGGCTAAATTTTCCCTAGAGGTTAAACTCATATTTGCCTTAAGGATTGGAGGGTAAGTTTAAAGCCTAAAATTTGAGTTTTATTTCAAGGGTAGGAGTAGGTCTAATGATCCCAAATTAGTTATTATTGCCTACTTGAAAGATTGACTTTAGGCGAATATGATTTCCTCCATAAAGCCCCTTTGAACACATGCTTTTCTTCATTGGGAACCTCCTTTTGAAGGTTGGGTAAAGCTTAATGTTAATGGGTGTTGCAAGGGGGTGGCAATTTCATTGGTGTTGGCGGTGTCCTTAGAAACGCATCGGGGGTACGAGTCTCTAATTTTTGTGCTAATTTTAGTTGATGTGAGATTTTATGTATTGAAGTTTAGGGTGTTTTTATTGGATTGCAACTTGCATGGAATAATGAAATTAAGTAGATTATGGTGGATTTGGATTCTGCACTTGCAATACAATTGATTTTAAATGCAAAAGTAGTTAATCACACTCTAGAAAGTTTGGTATTGAATTGTCATGCTCTTATGCACCAAAGTTGGTCTTATGAAATTCGACATATTTGCAATGAAAAGAATTTTGTTGCTAATGATTTGACTCGTTTGTGTTTGTCATGCAGTTTAGGTCTGGTCTTTTTTGAGCAAGCTCCTCATTCTTGTAGTCAGTTGCTAGTTGCAGATGTAGCTGAGGTTTCGTGATCTTGTGATATGTAATCTTTCTTCCATTTGAGCTTTTGCCCTATTGTTAACCCCAAAAAAAAAAAAAAAAAAGAATGATCTCCCTCTTAAGATTTTGAAGGAATTCGCTCAAAATTCAGATGGAGTAAATGACTGAAAACGCTTTGGATGAAAATACTTTTGGAACCAATCTTAGTAAAAATGCAACTCAATCCTACAAAATAAAAAAAATTTAAAAAAAAAATCACCAAAAAACTCTCTGAGTCATTTTAAAAACATTTTAAGCATGCCACTCTTTTAAATCTTTCAGAAGTGTTAAAAATTTTGGGGTATTCATTCATTCATGTATACTTAAAAGCACATTGTGCAGGTTTCCGTTCTAATCAGTCGATTTTGGATGGGGAAGGGCCGTCCTGCATAGGTCTCCCAGGACTTGGAGGGATAAAAAACTAGATCATATTGACGGATGCAAGTGCCGGCATTGGCATTGAAGCACACTTGATATCCAAAGAAGACGTGGCCTTAATTGAAACCAACCAGGAGCTGATGGCTAGTTAATCGGCAATTTTCTTGTGCGTTTTCGATTAAAAAGGATGCTATATATGTTTTACCTTCCGTGATTTCTTTTGGTGTTGCTTGTACTTAGTAATGTCGTTCTCTCTGTGAACGATCAACTGTATTAAAAAAAAATACCAGCAAGCATAATAAAATTGTAAGTGGAAAAGTTTGCATCAAAGAACTCAAACACAACCACGAATTTTTATTCTTTTTGGAGCTAAGATTCAACAAATGAAGAAAACACATCTCATCTCTAAATCGAAATCAAAACGGAGGGGACGGAGTCAACTTATCTAGTTTCCATTACTACGTATCCAACCACCATTCAATCTACTGAAACCTAGTCACAGCCCATCATCCAAATAATCACCTTCATACCGCAGTTCCGATTTCAATCTTCACTTTCAGGTACCGTGTATGTTCAGCGAATGACAGAACATCCATGTGGCTACCGAGACTCACCTCATCCAGCTTCCTCCCAAGATAGTGAAATTATCGATGAGTAGTCAGCGGAGGCAAAACTCTTAAGGTTGTCCCGTGCAGTCCCATTATTAAGCTTTATCTTTCTGCAGATAACTAGAAAAACCATAAAACAGTTAGTCCTTCATATACTGAGTGAGATAACAATTACCATGTGTGTGCACTGCTTTCTTTATAAGTCAACAAGCCTACAAAACAACAGCAAACTAATCTTTGACTAAATTACATCAATGCTGTATTCATTTTCCATCGTGCAACCGCCTTGTGTGTTCTCGTTTTTTTAGCCGGTAAAAGATTAAGATTACTGTTGCTGATTTACGGTTTATCCCCTTGAAGTTCAAATATAACAACTACATAAAGTCATCTAAAAACTTTACAAAAACAGCAAGACTATAAGAATTGTACTCCGTTAGGTCTAATGAACTTCAAAATAACTAAAATGGTCAACTGTACGTGCCTGAATCGACGTATAAATGAATCCAGCATTACATTGTTTTAGTTTGAGCCTACTATCCCAGCAGTCAATGCAATATATTTGTCAACGTTACTCCATTCCGATGTTTACCAATAACATATTGATGAATCGTGGTATGCAATCAAAGAAGTTATAGTTATCCTTTTCCAAAAAAGAGAGAAAATGTGTAGTACCTTTCGAGACACAACTATTACTGCAGTCCTGAATGTTCTGTGGCCGTCTTATCTGCACATTAAAATTCAAAATTTTCAGACACAACCATATGTAGAGCAAGGATACACCGCAAACAAATATTTATTCATTAATAGTTCAAAGTTATATATAAGGTAGTGCTATTCACACACCCAACACCCTTGTTAAATTTTGTCTATTGATCTTTTTCAATTCATTCGATCTGACCGCAGGAAATTGAGAGGGGTGTGTGAGAGATAAAAATGGGTGTGTGGATATCACCACCTATATATAACATTAGATATTCAAACTGATAGTTTCATACAAACTTATCCGTTCAAAAACCAAATATCCATAAAGGCAAACAAAAGAGTTCTGCAAACACACATCCAAACACGTAACTACTTAAACCACAATTTTACAAAAAAATCGGTAATGTAAAGGTGAGAGTGTTGTTAGGCGCTTGGCAACTAGCGAAAAAACAAGAATTTAAATTTTTTGTTCTAACAAGATATGCTCCCATGTCTTGCAAATAGCTAACAGAAAATAGCACATTTATCTCAATCACCGTTAGTTGACGAACAATAAATTGAGAGAAGCATAGATTCATACGACCTATGTTTCTTTCGTTCTTCTTGACTAGTAACTTCCATGACCTATGTCAAAATCAATTAGCTTCCATATGTTTGGAAGTTGGGGTTCCACATAAATCTTTGTATCTTCGGAGGTGTACTAATCGTAATGTGAACCTAGATTAAAAGCAATCAACTTTTTCTCATCTAACTATCCATGGAAATCTATCTTACAGTAGCTTGATCACACAAGTCACTCTTTCCACTTTCATTACCACTCGATTATCCCATCATAACGAAATCGAAATGTCTCGAAACGTGGCAAAAACAACATAACAAGAACCCTAGTTTTAGTAAATACCGTGTTGTTGTTGCTGCTGATGCTGATTTGGGACGCCAACAAACAGCATTCTGTCAATGTTATCAAGCCGGCGCTGTACGGACTTGAGAACCGAATTCAACGACGAAACTCTCTTCCTAACGGCGGAAATCTTCGCCGCGTGTTGCATGATGAACAGAAACGGAGCATCGTCCAACAACTTATCCAGCTCTGCCCACAAATCCAAAACAGCAGTAAATATCAAATTTACAAGCAAAATTCAAAATTTCAAAAGAAAAAAGAGGAATTTTTTAAAACTTTTTCTGTACCGCGGGTGAGGCGATCGAGCGACTGAGAGAGGTGGTCCTGGCTAGCGAAGGTCTGCTGAGCTTTGGAATCGAAGTCTTTGATGACGGTGGTGAGCGTCGACGAAAGCGCCTTTGCCAGCGCCTCCGTCGACTGTAATCTGTTCTTCGCGTTCTCGTTCTGGTCGACAGTGACACTCTTCTCCTCTGATGACTCCAGCTCGGTTTTCTGGCTTTCCATTTTCTCAGACTCACCACTGAGAATTGACTGATTGGCTTTCTCACTTACTTTCCTACTAGTTTTCTCGGCAACCAAACAGAAAACTAAATTAAAAAATTGGGGTTATTTGGTTACCGGGCTTTTTATTTTGGGCCTTAGATTAAACATACTTCAAGCATTTTCTGGCAGGCCCATGTGCATATATAGAAGAAGCCGCAGAGAGATTAGGGTTCAGACTTCAGAGTCGTCAAAAACCCTGCGGTATTCTTCTGGAGACGTCGCGGCCATCGTTCTGGTGACGCAGTAGCAGCCTTTCCCATCCTACATGAGGGCCAAGGTAATTCTTCAAAACCCTCTTCTTAAATCTCTGTGCTTTAAACTTGTCAGTGGGTCCTCTTTGTATTTGGGATCGAATCGAAAAACTGTTTCGCATCTGCTGCTGATGGTTGAATAAATTGTGAGCGGTGGTTGTGATTAAACCTGTGTCGCTTTTTGTGACGTCGTTGTTTGCAGTGGAAGAAGAAGCGCATGAGGAGGCTGAAAAGGAAGCGCCGAAAGATGAGGCAGAGATCCAAGTAGGCAGCTTTTGCTCCGTAGTCCGCATCGCCGCCTTCTCATGGCGTGAGCTGCCCATGTGAGGTTTTGTAGACTGGAGGTTGCTCGTGAGGGTTTATTTCTCTGTATTTCGGTTTTCGTAGTTTTCGGGTTATAACTATTTGGATGTTAAATTAAATGCTTTATGACAGAGTTTATTTTGCTTCTAATCACATAATTAAGTATGGATTTGGTTAAATTACAATGGATTCTACTTGTTGTGATGTTTTCTTTAATTTGATCGTGTTGTTATGATGCAATGGGGATCTCGGATCGTGGTACATGTCAAAGTTTAGAGCTTTTAGGCATTTGGTGCACTTTGTGGCACAACATTAGGCTTTAGATTTCTCTCTGTCGAGCCAAATGCGCTAGTTTAGCGTCTAGACCGCATAAGCAAGATCCATCGGAAGCTTTGATTCATTGGCCAAGCCGCGGAACCAGAACACGTCCCTGTCTACCATCTGCAGATTTCTTGATCTGGTTTCTTCACTGTGTCGGGTGTTTATGGTTTCTAGTGTCATGCTGCATAGAAAGTCTTAGCTGTTAGTATCTTTGTCTCCCAGAGGATTTCTATTGTTACGATTCACCGCTAGCACCATTTCGTTGTCTGCTCCTTACTTGTCCAACTTTTCACAGCAGAAATCGATGGTTTTCTTTATCCGGCATATGTTCTATTGACAAGGCCGCCAAGGATTTTTCCGAAATTGTAGATTTGTGAAAACCTAGTTCAGTGTGGTTACCTACTACAAGTTGTAGGTATCAGGTTAGGGGGGAGGGTTGGGGTTTGTCATGTATCTGATTGATCCGAGTTGATCTCAAACGTAGGTCAAGAATATCGACTGCTTGGTCGATATTGCGACCGCACTGAGTTTCATCAAATGAAAACCCGATAACCTATCATCGGAAAAAACATAAACATATTTATTTACGAAGCAAAGAAATTAAACGAGTAAAAGTTTGAAACAGGTCTCTGAGTTTTGTTCTTCAAGTGGTACCAACATGGAGTTTGAAACGGATCTCAGAACAGCTGTCGGACTTAATTTACAGAACAAAACTGAAGAATGCAAGTTCTCTCCAGAGTTAAATCCTCTCATAAAATAATTAGCTTCAAGTACATAAAGTAAAGTGTGTAGATCAAAACTTCTGTCTTGAACTTGTTCAATGCTGCCCAATTCCAAAGCCTGAATATATATGTCAATGGTCATAAGGAATGCATCTCCTATCGTTTTCCCTTCTTCCCTCATCGACCGATCTACACCAAACGATTGAACAGCCTGCCGGAATTGAGTTTCCAAAACTTCTTGGCCCTAGAAACGATTTGGCCATAATCTTCTTTGCTTTTCTCTCCTGTCACAGTATTTCCGTTTTGTTTTCCCTCGTTTCTATCCCGGTAAATCCTCAAAGTCGTACTGCATAACCAGTCTTTCCACTGTATTTGGACTCACTACGTGTCTCAGGTGCAACTCTTTTAAGACTCTGGCTGCCAGTTCCAGTTCTCCTTCGTGCGCAATCCCTTCCACAAGAATGGTGTAGGTCATTTCGTTAGGCATACACCCTTTCTCGATCATCATCTCAAAAACCTGGAAGGACAAGTCTGTTCTTCGAGACTTGCAGAAACCGAGTATAAGAGCATTGAAATTGTCCGTATCAGGCCTAAGGCTGTTTTCTTCCATCACCTTGAAAATCTCCATGGCCTCATCCAGCATACCCTCCAAACACAATCCTCTGATCAGAGATGAATACGTATAAGAATCTGGAGTGAAACCGTGCTTGGTCATTTCGTACAATAACTGAAATGCTGGAAACGTGTTCCCTTTCCGACACAAGCTTGTGATTACGTTTTTGTACAACTCGTAGCTGGAGCACTTTTGTTTATTGCAGAGGCTTTGAATGATAGAGAATGCCTCTGGCACCAAACCTTCCTCACAGAGCACAGCAATGGCATTGAATGTTCCCTCATTAGGATTACACCGCCGATGAACCATTTGGTCTAGACACTTAACCGCACCATCCACTTTCCCCTCTTTGCAGAGATGAGCAATGATCGGATTGTAGCTGGCAGCGGTAGGCTTGAACCGACCTCTTTGCATTTCGTCCAAAACTTGAAGAGCATGTTCAGTTCTACCATGAAGTGCAAGCGAACCAATTAAGATGTTATACGTAACTATGGAAGGGGCTCGATCCTCTCCTTCCATCTCAGACAAAAGCACATTTGCCTCTTCCCACCTACCCTCGTGACACAAACTCCTTAGTACGATGTTATAGCTGACAACATTTGGATCGAACCCCTTCGAAGGCAAACTTCTAAAGAGCCGAAATGCCTCATCAGTCCTACCCTCCTTGCACAAACCAGTTAACAAGACATTGTAACTGACCACATTAGGCTTTCCACCTTTAGCAATTATCTCCTGCAGGAGCTTCATGGCTTCATTGACCCCTCTTTCCTTATAAGCAGCTTCAAGTAAGAAAGTGTATGTATAAACATTCGGAATCAGACCCTTCTGTATCAGTCTATCCAAAAGCTGCAAGCTCTGATTCAAGTTTCCACGAACGCAAAGCCCTCTGACGAGCGAATTGTAGGTCACAGTATTCGTTGGATATCCATATTCCTCCATCTTCTCTACCAGCTGCATTGCATACCCAATGTTGCCTCTTTTACACAAGTAATTCACCAAGAAAGTATAAGAAGCTGCATCAGGTATAATGCCGGAAACAACCATCATTTCGATGACTCTGACTGCCCTTCGCATCTTATTCGCTTTGCAGAGGTCATACAAGAGCTGAGTTGCCTGGGCCACATCAGGCTTCTGGCCCTTCCCCACCATAGACTCCAAGTGCACAAAGGCATCAATGAGTCTGAGCTCCTTACTTCTTCTGTCATTCTTGGCATGCCTCCAGTTGGGCAAGGCGAAAACAGTGTCTTTCGGAGAAATCGTGATCTGGGAAGCCGCCAAAACTCTGGAAAATCCCTTGCTAAGGGAAAGGGGTTGGAGATTCCTGATGTGGGAGAAGAACCCACAAGTTTTTCTGGTGGTTTCTGACGATGGGTGTGCAATTGGAGACACTAAATTTACGAGAACCGCCATTGACAGAGCTAAAATATACTACAAAAGATTGAAACTTTTTGCCACAGATAACAAGGATAAAAAATCTGGGCTGGTTAAATTCTCATCAAATGAACATAAACAAATGGATGACAGAATGTTTTTTCAGGATGAACACGGATAAGATGGACCGGATAATTTTAACACGAATCAATCAAAAAACGAGAGATGAACAAGAAATGGAGAGAGAGAGAGAGAGAGAGAGAGAGAGAGGAAATAATTAACATACATACACTCGATTTCTTCAGCTGCTGGGTTTTTTTTTCAGGAATGATTGGTTGGTCCATTTGCCATCCCACTGCTAAACAAAATGAATTTCTGTTTTTCCTTTTCTAATCTGGTAACTTGTAAAATCAGACCCCAAAATAAGAAGGTAACTGGTAGAACGAATTAAAATGTTAGTATCACTGTCCGGTGTCCACTGGGACCACTACCATACTTTGTTATCCAGTACGCTGGGGGTGGCTTACATCCACACGCATTTTGACCAGCTTGTGAAGCACGTACTCGGATGGGCTACGCTTGCATGGTCCGGAGTTTATGGGCTCCGTATTCATGGATGGGCTGTCGCTATGAATGTGATAAGGTGTACTTTCACAAATTTAGACACTATCTTTTTATTCAAGATTTAGAAATATAGTCACTCCTGACTCCCTCGAGCAGTGTTTGATGTCTCTAGAACAATGCTCTAACCCTGGTGAGACCCCTTGATAAGTGCTCGAGGGCTTGAGTAAATACACTTAGCCACTTCAGTTTCAAGCACCTTGCCACATCATTCAATAACCCGGATACCGAAAATCACCAGAAATCTCTACAAGAACAATCTCTAACAATAATCTGCAAACCAACAATCTTGGCCATGAACTTGATGGCATTATGGCAGTCCCCACATATCCTTAAATTCTTGAATACCCGTATTGTCGATTCGCCATTCAAATTGAGTATCCCAAAAGCAACAGCAAGTTTCTCACTGTGGTTGCAAAGGTCCTCTTGATCCACATCTTGCAGAACAAAATCAGTGTTGGGGACATACCCTACCAATCTCATCTTCTCACCCATGTCAATCAGAAACTTGTATATCTCCGTGCTTCGCTCATTACTCCTATCACCGGCAACAAAAGAGTAGACTCTATTCTTCAGCTGAACCCAAGAACAACCCGGTGTTTTTGCGATTCCTCTGTCTCTCATTAACTTCCTAGTTTCTGAAGCTTCTTCCCATCGCTTGGCAGTGACTAAAATGTTGGACAACAACACATAGTTGCCAGGGTTATCTGGTTCAATCTCGAAGAGCTTGTTTGCTGCAATTTTCGCTAAGCCTACATTTTTATGAACTCTGCATGCACCAAGCAATGCTCCCCAAGCACCGGGAGTAGGTTCCATTGGCATTCTTTGTATGAACTGATATGCCTCTACTAGGCGACCAACACGGCTAAGCACATCAACCAAGCATGAGTAATGATCTGCATCAGGTTCTATTGAGTGATCCCTCCTCATTGAATAAAAAACCATGATGCCTTCACCAACCAGCCCGAGAATGGCTACAACCGCACAAAACACCAGTGAAAGTAACAGAATTGGGCTTCACCCCGGAGTCTTAACATTTTTCTGAATAGCAACAAGGCTTCTTCTCCATTCTCATGCATCGAGTTTGCGATGATCATCGTATTCCAAGCAACTGTATCCCTTCTTGGCATCATATCAAAGACCCTCTGAGAAAGTTCCAACTCACCACATTTCGCGTACATGAAAACCAAAGCTGTTGTGGTAGCCAAGTCCTCCATTAAACAATTCCTAAAGATGTAACTGTGCACCTCTTTGCCTGCCCTTAAGCTCTCCAAATCTTTGCAAGCTGGTAACAAACTAGTAATTGTGATCTGGTTGGGCTTAATTCCTGATTCTTTCATCTGTCCGAGCATTTTCAGCGTCTGTTCCGTCTGCCCATTATTCAAGCACCCACCAATAACAGCATTCCATGAAGCACCATCCAACTTAACAACTTCCCTTCTCATCCTATAAAATAAAGTTACACCTTGTTTGTACCATACTTGATCAATCCTGAAACTACTAAGCACCGGTCAACAGCATACCGTCAAGGACCCACAAGACTTTTCCTCCAACCAGGAAGCCAATCACAACACGACACATGTCGGTATCAGAGGCTAATCATAGCGCGACACGTGTCGATATCAAAGGTCAATCACAACACGACACGTGTCAATGTCAGAACAAAACTAGAAACTCTCTTCTATAAAAAGGGATCATTCTCCCACAATAATCCCTAATGTCATTTGTACTAAACTATTCACTAGAACTCACTAAAAGAGAGCTTGAACCTATGTATTTGTGTAAACCCTTCACAACTAATGAGAACTCCTCTACTCAGTGGACATAGCCAATCTGGGTGAACCACGTACATCTTGTGTTATTTGCTTTCCTGTCTCTATCCATTTACATACTTTACATACTTATCCACACTAACGACCAGAGCAATCTAGTGAAGGTCATAAACTTCACACTTTCTGTTGTACCAAAGTCCTCGCAGATTTTGTGTATCAACATTTGGCGCCGTGTATAGGAATCGCACTTATTCCTACTCTCTCCAGCTTTGTCAAGCTGGTTTCCACCATTCGCACACTTTCTTTTGACCAGGCACCATTCTCCAACATGGGGAGTGAAGGGAGCCACAGCACGCAGAACGACACCCCCCTCGCACTTAGTGCAAAGCAACGAAAGAAGGAACGAAAGAGGTTTGCTCTTCAGGCTAAAGTCGATGAGCTAGAGGCTCAGAACAACAAGATAGCGATAAAGAATGAGATCCTCCAGAAGCAGTATAAGAAGCTCTTCGGAATGCTCCATGAAGCTAGGCATACTCAAACACACGAACTCCTCGCCCCTGAGGAAGTCAACCACCACCTGGGTGCCCCCAACACGGGGGATCAGCTGCTTTCAACATGAATATCCCTAATGGGGAGCGAGTTACTCATTAAGGTGTTGATCAACATGAGACCTTTCTCGACCCAGCTGCTTCGACCCGAAGCAGGAGAAGTGGAGGAAGGCATCTTCTTGTAGAAGGAGTAGAAGGATCAAAAGCCGTTTATCGAAACTGTCGGGACTTCCTGAGGTAACATCGAGAGAACCCCATCCATATAAGCTCGAAGGTCAATGATCCAAGGGTTTCTGAAAGGTTCAATCCTCTCCCATGCCCCAAGCCAATTGCCAATCTAGGGAATGAGCGACATGTCTTAGAGGAATATGAAGGTACGAGAGATTCGGGGGCGTTTCGACAGACTCGCCTTGGAAGTCAATACGATGAGTCCAAAGAAAAATCTCATGCCCTTGATCAAGCTTTCCTACTTCCAAGAGGAGATGAAGACTTACGGAAGAAGAATCCAGCAGTACTTAACCCCACTCAGGACCCGCTTGTCCTACAACTCCTTGAGGAAGTAAACAAGTTGAAGGCCGAACGTCAGGCTGAAATACCTAACTGGAACCAACCTAGGCCTGGCACTCTTACAAGGAGGATCCTCGACACCGACAAATCAGAAGCTTGGCTTACAACTCTGGAAGGGAGGACCCGATTGAACACCTTAACCTCTTTGAGTCCACCATGGCATACCAGATGCATATTGACGAAGAACGATGTCTTCTCTTCTTCTCTACCTTCTCTGGCGGAGCTCTGAATTGGTATTGTCGTCTTCCACTGGAGACAGTAGACTCATTTGAGGAACTGAGGAAACTATTTGTCTCTCAACATATCTTCCAGACAGATCGCTTGCATTCCACAGTTGACTTGTACACTATTCGCCAGAAGCCGGATGAGTCACTACGAAAGTATGCTGGCCGCTTCAGCCATGAGTATTCTCGCTGCGCTGAGGCAGATGACAAGACCGCCCTTAAAGCCTTTATGGCAGGCCTACGCGACTGTTTCTTCTAGTACATGATCAATGCTAACACTTGGAAGACTTACTCTGAGGTAATGGCACATGCTTATAACCATGCCTCCGCCGAGGCAAGGACATATCAAGGGAAACTCCCTATAGCCATCCCCTATCAGCAAATGGGGAGTGGAAGCCAAATCCAACCGAATGAGAATACCTCAACCTTCCAAATAGCAGCGACGCTTCCCTCTGCCCTACCTAATACCTCGCCAAGTCAACATGCGTATCATTCTCAAGGCAAGAGGAAAGACTTCCATCCTCACCAGTCTCATTTTAATAAAAAGAGTAAGGGGCATTATCACAATAGCCAACGGTATCACCACGATAATATCCGCCCCCAGGTAGTCAATGTAGTGGGCCAAACACGTGTCAAGAATGGTCATACCCTGAGGTATGAGACATACACACCTTTGAACGCCACATGCACAGCCATTTACCCTAGTATAGCTCACTTGATACCAAAACCAAGGTCGGGGGAGCCAGATTTCAAGTCCACGAAGAACACAGGCATGTTTTGTGGTTACCACGAGTATAATGGTCATGACGGCGAGAAATGTATCACCCTTCGTGATCATATTGAAGCTTTGGCACGTGAAGGAAAAATTGACCAGTTTCTCCTTCACCCTCCAAGGGATAATTGCAACCAACGCCAAGTGAATGTGATATATTCCATAAGCGATGGCACACCCATATCTGAATCTTCCAACAGGGCCATGAAAAACAATGAACGAACGTTGAAGCCTGGCCACCAAGTGTTTCACGTGGAAGACATTAGGGGAGGCAAGTATCAAAAGCCTAACTAGGATCCAATATGTTTCTACCCTGAGGAAGAAAGAGGTATCATCTATCCTCACAATGACCCACTGATTGTGGAGGCTCACATAGCCAACTTTGATGTACGACGAATCCTGGTAGACACGGGGGTGTCAGTCAATATCATGTTTGCTGAAGCTTTCAAAACACTTAATGTAGCTGAACACTTGCTCGATCACTCGGTTTCTCCTCTGATAAGCTTTTTTGGTGATGTCATGCAACCTTTAGGGAGCGTACATTTACCCTTCACCATCGGTACAGGCCCGTACACAGCCACCATCACCACTAACTTCTTGGTGGTTGACTGCCCAATAGCATACAATGTCATCTTTGGGCGCATATGCATTAATGATCTCAAGGCCATGGTATCCACGCATATGTTGTTGATGAAATTTCCAACCCCCTATGGCAATGGTTACATTAGAGAAGATCAACTTAGTGCACGATCATGTTACAACACTTCAGTCAAGCAACAACACTTGCATGTACCCAAAGAAACACTTTCTATACATGGCCAAGTTGTCAAGACCAGCTCGGACAAAACCAACTTGAATATTCTCGGTGGTAACAATCAACCCAACGATCCTCGAGATAACTCTTTCACCCAGAAAGCACAACTTGCTGAAGAGTTGGAGAAGGTCTCTATCTCAAAAGATTATCCATATCGCATAGTGAAGATTGGCACCACTTTGTCACCACCTATTCGGTTGGCATTGATCTTTTTTTTTGCAAAAGAACACTGAAGTCTTCGCCTGGTCATACGAGGACATGCCAGACATCTCTCCCGATATCATCTGTCATCGCTTGAGTATTGATCCCAAGACCAAGCCAGTGAGACAGAAGCGAAGATCTTATGATGCTGAACGATATGAAGCAATGAAGGCAGAAGTTGAAAAACTCAAAAGCATAGGTTTCATCTGTGAAGTCAATTATCCAACGTGGGTAGCAAGTGTGGTCATTGTTAAGAAAAATCCGACTGAGGAAAGTCTCTTGCTTCAAAAGATCTTGTGGAGAATGTGTGTCGACTACACCGACTTAAACAAATGATGCCCGAATGATAGCTTTCCCCTTCCTCTCATTGATAGACTTGTAGACTCTACAGCAGAGTGTGAACTTTTGAGCTTCATAGATGCTTACTTAGGGTATAATCAAATCCTCATGAACCTTTCGGACCAAGAACACACGGCCTTCACTACTGATAGAGGACTATATTGCTATAAAGTCATGCCATTCGGCCTAAAGAATAAAGGGGCGACTTATCAAAGATTAGTCAATTCAATGTTCGCTGAACAGATTGGGAAAAACATGGAAGTTTATGTTGATGATATGTTAGTCAAAAGCAAACATGCTGACCAACACATTGCCAACTTGTTTGAAACCTTCTCCATCCTGAAGAAGTATCGAATGAGGTTGAACCCCAACAAATGCGCTTTAGGTGTGGGCTCTGGAAAATTCTTGGGCTTCATGATTAGCTAACGAGGCATTGAAGCTAACCCTGAGAAAATCAAAGCAATCATGGACATGAAAGAACCAGTAACCTCAAAAGACATCCAGAGCCTTACCGGCAAGGTGGCAGGCTTAACCAGGTTCATCTCTAAGGCCACAGACAAATGCGCTCCTTTTTTCAAAGCACTTAAGGGAAGTAAGAAGTACATTACGTGGACCGATGAACGTGCCGAAGTATTTAAGAACCTCAAGGAGTACATGAGTAAAGCCCCTCTCTTTTCCAAACATGAAGTTGGCAACACCCTAATTGTCTATCTATCTGTCTCAGCTTCAGCAGTTAGTTCCGTCCTCATTCGTAGGGATGGTAGTATCGAACGACCTGTCTACTACGCTAGCAAAACTCTACAAGATGCGGAGACACGATACTCTAACATTGAGAAATTAGCTCTAGCATTAGTCATGTCTGCTCGGAAACTTCGCCCCTACTTCCAAGCACACTCCATCATCGTGCTTACCAATCACCCCCTTCGACAAATACTTCAGAGTCCTGACACTTCGGGATGAATGTTCAAATAGGCCATAGCACTGGGAGAGTTTGACATCTCATACCACCCAAAGTTAACTGAAAAGGGTCAAGCAGTTGCAGATTTCATTGCCAAATTCACTTATCCCGTTGACATTTCTCCTACACCTAAGGCAGCAACTTCATCACCCTTGGAAACCTGATAGGTAGAACCAACACTCCCAGTATGGACTCTATATGTTGATGGCTCATCTAACCAACAGGGTTGTGGAGCAGAACTAGTCCTTAC